ACAACGTATAACAAACCTTCGTTTTACTCGCAGCAACCAGAGGCAAGGAAGTGGAACTCGGCATGCTGCTCATCACCTCAACCCTTTTGTTCAAAGAACATCAGTTGACTTAAAGTAGAACATCGGGAATGACAGCAAACAAGAGATTCTTTCTCTCATTTCTCTTTCTGAGATAATACCAAAAAAATACATGAATCAATGGAATAGTAACCTCTCCAACAACGATTTCTCCTTGACCGAATCCCAAACCCAACGAAACGGTTGGAGGCACAAAGGACAAACACCGCCACAACGGGTCTACGAGATGTAAAAGAGGTAACAGTTGAACACGCGTAAAAAACTAAACAACATCCGACTTTTCTAGATGAGTGAATATTAAAGAGGCGACATTTCGGCTCCATTTTCTCATGTTTCATCATTTTTGACCGAGTGAGACAGGAGTGATTTTACAAGCGCACCAGCCTAAAAGTTACTGCATAATTTCAGCACTGACTGAAGCGTGGAGGTCAGGTGGGGAGTTATTAAGTACAAATAGTGTCAGGGAAAAAGCAAAATCTTTCTACTTGTGCTGCAAATTATGAAAGCAATTAAGCAGTGTGGCTACGGAGGGACCAGCCCTTTACAGTGCGTCAGATTCACGGAGACGCTCAGTTTTAGGACTAAGCCTCAAAGGTGAAGAAGGACCCCTGAGGTCCTGTAAGCTATTCCTACTCCCCCTCTGAAAGGCTTATTCCTACATGCTGCCCCTCCAGAGGCACACTGCGTCCCTCTGTTACTCCTTAAAAGAAAGCATGTCTTGCAGCTCCTGATCTCGCTACATTTCATGCACTGATGTCCGACTATAACACAAATCCAGCGTGAGTACAAAAAACTACGCAAAGCATACATACGAGATCTCTTCCAGAAAAGTGTATATTACTAAGACTTTTCAATCGAACACAAAAAGGAGACACGCAAATTGAGAATTCATTCGCTTGCATCAATGCCCAGGAAAACGGCAAACTCACAAGAAATTCAAAATGCGGCTGACCGTCTATTAGGAAACTTTTTGTACATTCCTACACCACCTCAAAAAATTGCACACTATAAAAAAACTACACACTATAATATAATGTACAAGGAAAACTTCTGCTCAAGTGGGCTAAACGCAGAAGAAACAGTACGCTGACCCGGTTGTCTTTTCAAACTTAAATGCAGATGCTAGGTAATGCATGCTAAAGGAGATACAGAGAACCCAGTGCATTAATAATACTTTCACCTACAATTACCTGGAGCGCTGTAGGTGGAAGTATCATTATAAGTGCCGAACATTCTTTGCGAAACTGTTCAGATGTCGGTCAGACTCGGCGATTGCGTCGCTGTACACCAGCGACGGAGTTGCCCGGCACAAGAGTGGCAGCAACGGGCGATGACTCAGCACACGATCGATATCGGTTGGCAGGGGGAGATTAATCATCCTCACCCATCGTTCATGTTGTTCTGCTCGGTTTTTTTTCAAATTCTTAATCAGGATAGTGGTCCTCCCTGTCATTGTAATAACCTTCAAAGGTATCTTGAAGTAACTAGCTCGAAACTTGATTGGTTCTTTGATCGAGTGGGAAAATCCATGATAGTTGTATTTCACAACTTCTTTTGGTGGGTCATTTCATCACGTCAATTATTACAGGACCACTTTCCTCGCATTCAAGTGCATCCCACGCAGTCTTTTCTGCTGACAATTGATTTTTTCTAGAACTAGAAAAAAAGCGAGCTAGAAAAGATTTGGACAACATAAGATGTTTTCGAGTGAGTTGTTCCTTCCATTTATTTTTTATCTTTTGCTTTTTTCAAACGTGGCTGCTTTCGATATTTAGCCATGATTGGAGGACCGTGAAACGGCTGCATGGCGGAAGTATCCTAATGGCCGATGTCAGACTCTGCGATTGGAGCGATTCGGTCAAATGTGAATCGCGCGACATCGCGCGATTGACATGACTCCCATCATGACCAATCGCTCCAATCGCGCGATGGGCGCGATCACTCCCGTTGTGGCTGGCGCGCCCCCCTCGATCGATACGTTGACTGCGGAGCTGCGCTAGGCTATCATATCTTCAATGCAGCTCGATTATAGCTGTGATGCTTATGTAGAACGTGTTTCTCCCAGATCTGAGCATTTGATTTCTTCTTTGACGTTTCATTTTTAAGGTTGCAAGATGTTTCATCTTAGTTTCAGGCCATCAGTTCGAGTGAGTCAGTGCAGTGATGGTTCGGTTGCGTATCACTTCTTTACTGTTTAGACGTTGAACACCTAAGGTTTCTATTTTTATTTTTTATTCAGTTCGTCATTTAGACTCTGCAGTGAAATATGTGAATCTTATTAGAATCCTCGATACAAGTGTGGATTTCCGTCCGCAGCTGTTCTTGGGCCGCTTAAATTTTTGCTCCAGAAACAACAAAGTTGTGGTTGAAAAAGCTGCCTCAATCTTTTCTCGTAGAAATGTCCTATGTATTTATGGTATTTCTACTGTTTCACGGGTAGCCTTTGCAACTAGTCCTTTTATCACTGTTATTTCAGAGAGCAGCTTCGAGTGCAGGTGTCTACAACCATTGACCAACCTCCAGTAATTGTTAATTAAACACGTTTCAAGTCTTTTGGTTAGTGGTTTTAGTGAAATGGTCCAACCCTTCTGTTTGTAATCGCCACGTTCCGTGTTTCAGGTAAGTATGGGTAACCGCAGGGTTCGAATGCGTGCCGGTGTGTTGATGCTTTTATCAACATGGTTGAAAAAGTGCCCATCCGCTGTAGCGATTTTCCTTGAAAACGACGACAATCTTCACTACTTGACTACGCAGATCCGTATGTTTGATCTTTTTTCAGTTAGGTCCCATAGGTTCGGTTTGAATATGCCATTAAGTCAACTTTTCAGCTCCCTAATCCTACGGAAACCGCTGTTCAGTATCTTCAACAACAAGTGTAACAGCTGGAGCAACAAGTGGCATACGGGTACCAGGCTTTCGAAGAACATGGGAAATCGGTACGTTTATTCGGTTATTTGGCATTAAGAATTTCTGGAAGTACACTTTGCGCGTCTTAGCTCCTGGTGGTATGGCAAGTTCAACAATGTTATGTTTCGTGTATGCGTCGGATCTCGTTCGTACTAGGTTGTCAGCTGATGTGGGGACCCTCAAATTCAGTAAGGATTGTACGGTGAGCTGCGTTTTCGAATTGCGATGTTTGTCAATTCATTAATGATTAATGTCGATTCATTAATTCATTTATTTCGTTATTTATTTATCATGAACACCTGTTGTAAGGAAAAATAGAGCTAGAGGGGTGTTGGGAATATTGCATGCTGTACTTCTGCCATGGAGGTTTTTGCGGTGGAATTTATTTATCCGGCCGAAAGAAGGGATTTCATGCGCGACTGTCCAAGAAAGTGAGTGGATTCCTGGCGGTGTTGAGGCCGCGGAAGTCCTAAAGAAGACGGCGTCGAAAGTCGACCGAATAAACAAGTTCCATCGTAGCAACCTCTATGACAGATGAACAACAGGCAGTTATTCGAACGCGCCTAGGTTTCAATGAGACCGAACATGGAATCTATTGTCTAGGGTATGCTAAAAGCAGGTGGTGTCTGCGTGCCGTTGAAAGCTGAACGCGAAGAAGAAGAGAAGAAGTAGTGACCATGTTTCGTAGAGCTTTCATACTTGTTGTAGAAGTAGAGCAGGGCCAACGCTTAATAGTGCGAAATGTTCTCTGCATGTAGTGATTTTGTTGTGGTTGTAATGCACCCATTCAAAGTGTGGAAGGGGGTGGTAGTGGGATGTATATGGTGATTAGTTTCTGTTTGCACCGTTTGTTTGCTTGTCTTGCACAGAGATAAAAATTAATAGTGTTTGTCGCCTAATCACGTTGCAACAAAGTGTTTGGAACCAGTAATATTGTGCCTGATTTGTTTGTGGGGTTCTTAACTCTTGTTTACTTACCTTTGTTTACCTCACCATTCTTTTACCTTCACCTTTCTTTCATTACATTCAATCAGGAGATAACAGTCAACACAATTATATGAACATTACACGCAACACTACATATATGCTTGGTAACACAACGCATTCGCGTAACACAACGCAGTTGTAGAACATTACGTGGTGTGCTCAAAGGATGCCCGCTCATGTTTCGTTGCGTGCTCGACTAATCGACCTGATGGAAATGGAAGAGTGCATTTGGTATAAGGGCGCGCCTGATTACGGCAGAAGAGATCGAGTTGAAAGCGCATGGGAGCGCATTATGCAGGATTTGGAATGTCTAGGCCACAGAACTAACGGTATGCCATAGTTCCCGTCTGGGATCTTGAACATTAGTGCCATTCGTGGATTACTGTCAAAAATTCAGTGGCGGAGCTCAAGAATATGTGGAAAAACTTGAAAGACACGTATCGAAGGAAAAACAATCCAACTACGGGATCTGCTTCGGGGCCGCAATGGACGTACTTGCAGGCCATGCGATTTCTTGAAAGGAATCAGCACGACGGGTGCGTTTCAAAACCTGAAGTCTTCCGGGTGGAATCATATGACGTTTCTATTATAGCCCCACCCTATCGAATGTCGACGAGGAAGGCAATTATAGGATGAGTCTGGAACTGGAGTCGAGTTCTGTGGCTAGTCAAAACGACACTCCCCCGTTGCAGTCTTCTGCACCTAAAAGAGGGAGAAGGGACAGTGATGGTGGGTCATTTACTACGGAGGAGATCACTACTCCATATTATATATATATATTAGGTCATCTCATTCAAACATGTCCACGGTTTTATTCGAATAAAATGAACAGCAGGAAAGATAAAAAGCTAATACTTTGGTGTTAAGTCAAGCAGATCTTGTCGTTGTTAACGACCCGATCCCAGCGTCTAGAAAACACTGGACACCGCGCAGCTTCTTCATTTCAAAATGTATAGACAAGATGCTTTTGATGTCAGTATAGATGATCAACGAATTGTCGTAGCGCTTCCGAACGAGTAGGGCGTTCAGTTCGCTAAAACAGCTGAGGTCGCATGGCTGCAGTTGGGAAAATACGGCTGATAAGAAGAGGTCACAATATCCGTTTTGGTCGAAATACCCGTGAGCAATATGAGCTATGTGGGGTCTGGCGTCGACATAGGTGATGATATCGTTATTGTAGTTTTATACTGCTATTCCTTTGTCAATTTGTTCGCTAAGAAACAAGCCATACACTTGAGAAACGCCGGAGGTTTTTTCCCGACAGAGCCATTTAAGAGGCACATCTCAGAAATCCATCGCCATAATAATCATCCACGTGAACCCACGTGACTTCTCATGATCCGATTAGGGTAGTTCCTCATTAGCGTTCATCCAAAAGTGGACGCTTTACTGATTAGGCAGGGTACAATTCCAAATTTTGTTTGTAAGCAGGGTCTAGTTTGATAGTCTTAATGCTGTTATTGACAGAGAAGATCAATGCTACATACACCAATTCGATTCTGGACTCTTGCATCTGGGAGTAAATGAGATGTCCAAAAACATGTTCTGTGGACCATCCATTTTGGCCAAATTGCTAAATGCTGCATATAGATGCCGTCTATGAGCAAACATCGCAAAGGTGCAACATCTGTGATGCGCCATTTGAAACCTCATTTCATCCACCCGCTCTTCTTGGGCAAGGCGGGCAATGTGAGCGCGTCCTCAACCACAACTCGCATCCGTTCTCCCTTCTTTGAGCTCTCACACCATATCTTCAACGTAGCACTTCGAGAACACTGTATCACGCGTAAGCTGAGCCAGCACACAGAGAATTCGAGTTGCGAATTTTACGTGTGTCACCAATCATTTGGAAATTCCGCCTCGATTTTGGTCACAATGAGTTTTATATTTTAAGTGTTCCCTTCTGCGGCACCACAAACTTAATTGGGGTATACCGTAGCTAGGTGTGGGGGTGGGGTTGGGGGGGGGGGGGTGTGCTAGCTGTGCAGCGAGACAGAATACTCTATCTCTTTTTACTTTTCCCACCATTTCTCTAGATGTCTGGACATGATTTGAATGAGTTGACCTAATATATATATATATATATATATATATATATATATATATATATATATATATATATATATATATATATATATATATATATATATATATAATCCTTTGTAGAGTTGAATGGCCTCCGAGGAGGACAGTCCTAGACCAAAGCCGAAACTGCACCCTCACCCATGCAAAGAGGAAATCTGATAGGAAGCAGGAATGGTGCATTTGAATTGATCAGAATTTCAGAAATTGGGGTCTTCAAATCTTTTCATATAGAACTCATGGCGACGCTGAGGAGGGCTGAGAAGGGTCAGGTCAACTCGGTTGCCACTGAACGCACGCCAGTCCTTCAAAGTCTCTAGGGGGAAAAAGAAAGGGAAGTGAGGATGGTGAGTCGTGTAATTAATGGATGCGAAATATTACCATTGCAAAACATTCCATCGACAGAGGTGCAAGCAACCATCGAAAGAATCGACGAACATCTGCAGCGTTCGCGCCATCACAGCTCATAAGTAGCTCGTCAAGGATTCAGTAAGGATTTGCGTTGCTCGGACTGTTCGTATATAGACAATGCATGGTTTCAGGAGATTTCGTCGCGCAACATCTGCGGGAGAGATTCGACGCATATACGCCAGATGTGAAAATAAGGCAAATGTTGGAATGCTGTTTAGCTATACCTACTGCAGCCAAGGAAACGATGGAGTGGTTCACGAGGAGTATGTTGGAGAATATCCTGAGACAGATTGAAGTTAGTAGAAGAAACATTTATTCTAAAACATTATAAAAGCATTTATTTAACATATATACATTAAGTTAATGTGGTCACATGGAGTTGTACATACATACGGTCGTAGTGGCGCCTATTCGTTCCCTTGCAATCCTTGCTAGGTCTGGTCCTCGTCTCGCCGCGACTTCCAGGCAGGGTGTTCGTCGGGATTAGCAGCAGGTCTCGCTGGTTCCTCTCTTCCCAGTTCTCTTCTTCTTATCCAGTTGTGGAGAACTTGAAAAAGTCGGTACTAAAATGAGTTGTCTTCAAAAGTGTGGTGTTTTGAGAGGTGATCCTCACCAGCAACGATGCCAACCAATTCCATCACGCGGTTTGGCTCCAATTCGATAGCCCTACTGAGGATTAGGAAGCGCCTGCTCAGCATACCGAACGTTGCCTCGACTTTTGCACGGGCGCTGAAAAATGACGTTAAGTAACTCCAAGCGACGGAAAGATCTATACTCACCGGCTATGCTTTCGATTGAATCTCCTTTGGCTGGGCGTTCAGAGGATCCGCTCCTGAGTACGGTCTAACATAACGATAACCTTGCCCAAAGCCGCTGTCGATCAATATGTGATACTGCACCGGCCCGACAGTTCCCAAATGTCTCGTGGGGGGAAGACGTGCTCGTTCCTCTCGAAAAAACGCTGGAAAAGAGCAATGCAGACCACTAACTGATGCATAGTATTCCACTTACTTTGATTTTGGACTGCGCGAAATACCCAGCATCACCTACTGAGCCTGGCGCCCCTACGTCGAAAGTCACTATGAGGTTGTCAAAGTCCACCACGGCGAGCAATATGATGGAATGTGTTCTCTGGTAGTTGAAATATGTGCCGCCGAAGTGTGGAGGCTTCTAGAGAGCGTCGAATAAATGTTATTGCGTACACATGTTCGAGAAGCGACCCCACCTTGCGATATGGCACGTCCCACCTCCGAAACAATCTCTCCTATTGTCGTTCTTCCACAGTGAAGTTCCTGGCATAGTGCGTTGAAGGGGATGCCATGTCCAACAAACCTTAATCTCGAGATCTTTTGAGCCTTATCAGCGTTACGGTGTTCGAAAACATAAATTACCTAAGGAAAGTAAAAAGTCGCTGTTGAGCGGTTATAGGAGACGCATGTGTCAACGAATGAGTAAGACGAAGAGCAATGCGCTCATACAGCTGCATGAATTGCAGCGGTGTCAGCCTCGTGTACTCTTTGAATCTGTCAGGGTGCTCCCGAGCAAGATATTCGTCGAAAGTTCTCATGCGACTGTGAAGGAAGGGCACATGTTCTCTTCGGACATACTCCCTTAGGCGTTCCCTCTCTTCAATCCTATCCTGGTTCCCCCGCAACACGCGTTGCAGGTCCCGCAGTGCATCCAGCACATTTCACAATTCGTCAGTCATACCTGGAAAAAGTTGCAATAATTTTCATCTTTTATTTTTCGATTTTCAGATCAGAGTTCCCGCAAGAGAAGCCCAAAATGACAGGTCTCGCCTCATTGTCGAAGTGTATTGTTTCGGTTGTACGGTACCACACTTTTTCCCAGGTCTCATTTTATTAACCATGTATCTATGCATTACCCTTATGAAGTGCTTTCGGCGGTATGTTGATGTTTCTGCGCCATGCGCGTTAGCAAGTATTGTTTAGCCTTTCGTGTGTACAGTTGAAATACTGGAGTTGATTCTGGTAGCAGTTCAATGTATTATGTTGTTGCGTTGCCAATTTGAAAATTTAGGGGCCAACGAATTTAATGAGACCTTAAGTTAAGAGATTTAAAATCAATAAATCGTGATCAATTTTGTCAGAGCTGTGAGGAGTATAACCTACTCAGGTACGGAGGCAAAGACCAGAGCAGGCTTGCTTAGTGCCTTCAGGCTAATACAGTGGCAGTTGCCGTGTGGGCGTTGTTATTTTTATGGAAGGTACCACTCTTATTTCTTTATAGAGAGCCGTACGGTCGTGGTATCGGTACATCACCAAGAAACTTGAAGAGAAGAGTAGTTAGGGTGACATTGTTTCCAAGCTATCCCAACTAGTCCAGCCTCATACCAGAGCCATCGCATGTGATTTACTCTGGTACCTTGGCAGCCCATTCAGCACTTTTCGTAGGACAGAGTTTATACTCCTCGTGAAAACCGTTATACACATCCTGGCACGCACGTTAAATATCGTACCCAACTACAGTCGCACTTTTGATTTCGTAGCTTTGTTTCCATCCATTCACTGTTCCTAAAAGGTACATTCGCTCGTTTTTCAAGCACTGCAAACAGCGATGAAGGAATTGAAACAAAGCTCAAAATCAAAGGCGCGACCGTTCCCCAACGGCGTTTCCCCATCCCCATAGCCCAACTTCCCGTTCCCTCATCCCCATAGTCTACCCAACATTCAGCATACGGCCCCTGTAACAGCATTATCTCTGCTCCCTAAGTGAGTCACATGCATGTCGCTCTACACTCATCTCTGTTCGTTACATCTACCACATTAAGCTTTCGTATAATAGAAACAAAGATAGATAGAATAATAATAATAATAATAGAAACAAGATATAAAGTGGAAACATGATCGGACAGAAACATTTAATCGTACAGTAGAACATGGTGCATAGGAAGGAGGGATTACAACACATTATAAGACGTAATACCACAAATCAAACGTTTTTGTGCCGTAAGTACAGTAATCATGACCAAAATATCAAAATCACTGGGCGCATTCTTTCCGATTGAGCATTCAAAACGAGTTATCATTTGAATAATGTGATACTGAATAGTGTTATCATTTGATGGGGGAGCGTGCAACAGAATCGTCCGGGAGTGGCGCCGTCGCGCGCGGCACTTGCGCGGCGCCGTAACGCGGCACTTTTTCGATGGGCGCGGCAACAGTAGACTTTGTCGATTGGAGCGACAGATTTGCTGCGGTCCACATTAAGCCTTTTGGCCTGGCCCGTCAACTTTAAGTTTTATTTTCTTCTTGTTTTCACCGCTTCATTGCTGACGGACTCGTGCGATTTAAGAGATTGTCCCGTACTCAAGATTAACAGTATTTGATTGAAATTTCAGGTACGCAGGGGGAGGAGACGGCGCCCGTGGTGTGAATGTTTTCAAAAAACGCTCCATACTGTGAACCTTGGCTGAAAAATCACTTTACGCGTGGATGCTGGGGTGAGTAGCTTTCATTGTGATGTATCTGGATTTGCTATGTTAAGCTTGTGTGGTCATAGCTTGCAGGGTACCTGCAGACACCCGGTGGAGGAGGTGATCGTACAGAATAAGCGAGTTGATATCTGTTGTACTACGTGTTAACATTTGATGTCACTATCGTATAATAATTGTAATGTAAATTATAATTGTAGTTAACGCCTATGACATCTGGATTATGTTGTGTTCGTATGCAGTGAAAATAAAATTGTGGAGATGGACTGATATTATTGGAGAACGAATCGCAAGCTGACGGTGGAAGAATTAGCGACAGTGAAGGGACTGCGTACGAGTGTAAGCACGGTCTAAAACGTATACAACACCAAGCAGTGGTACATTGCGCCCCTACAACCGTTGTTTGCATCACGCTTAGTTTTTGAACGGAGCATCCGATTTCCTCAAACTCTCCACGCTAGCGGGACCATCCGCGCCTCCTGGTCGACGTCCACAATATGTAGATGTTGGTGATATGCCGCCAACATCCGCATATTGTGATCGCCTTCTTTCGTTCACATATTAGCTATGCATGGGCACGCCGTAGGCGGTCCTGTTTTGAGTACTCGGAACTTCACTTTATTAATATCGCCAATGTTAACAATAGTAGACGTACAGGAAAAGAAGACTCCCCTTCATTACACGCGCATAGCAAGGCTTGTAACGTCGTCGGTCACACAGGCGTTGGTCTTCGTTCTTTAGTGGTCGTGTATGAGACATGAGAATGTTTTACGGAAACTGAATGCACTTTTGAGTGGGAAACGTAGGAGGTAATGATTCATAATCAGATAAACATATACGTATGTGTAAACAATGTACAATACCGCTACTAATTTTTGTTCAATCGACGGAATGCGACGCAGTCAGTCCGTCGCAACCGTCGCCTCGCCATAACTCGTGAACAAATGGATTAGGTCATTCGAAAGTTATACCACTGGATAGCTCTGCTCACGAAGAATTCAACGGTATAGAGGACTATTGAGTTTCTCTGAATTTTCAGCTTCATTTCTCATGAAATTTATCAAATTACCTGAGGCTGACTCATTAGCGAGCGTCGCTCGCTATAATTATAACCAGAGGGGAACAGATATTAATAGTAGTATTTAGCGAGTAATAAAGTTATTATATTACTTCTATGTAAAGTGAAAAAGAGACTGTTGTGTTCTTCAGATGGTGCTCGTCATTTTGATACCGAATTCATCCCAGGTGGGTCAGCTTTGATAAAAGTCATTTTTGCATGGAAAAGCTCCTTTGGGCCGAAGTATAGCGAAAACTAATAGGATCTGAGCCTTGTCACTTAACTTTCCTTTTCTACAGAGCCAACCCCGTTGACGAGAAGTTTTTGAAGTTCCTACCTAGCACTGGCTGTCAATTTCGAGGTCTTGAATCAGAGAGAAATTCACATTTTTTCATGGAAAGAAAATAGTACAAAAAGTATACGAGTTATGGCGAGGCGACGGTTGCGACGGACTGACTGCGTCGCATTTCGTCGATTGAACAAAAATTAGTAGCGGTATTGTATACTGATGGTCTTCCATGCGTCTGA